AAAAAAAAAAAACTTTTAACAAGAATATGAAAGCTTGATGAATTTGAGAAAAAGAAGATGTTTTATAGTACAATAAATGAATTACAGTCGTCTTAATATGTAAAAAATTAAATTAAAAAAATTAAATTACTAGAAATATTACTTGCATGCTCATGCATTGTCTAATAGAATAATAGATATTTTGTTTGACAATTGTAATATACATGAGACTAAATGAAAGAACTCAACATAAAAATAATAGAATTACATAAATAAAGACAAATAAAAAAAAAATAAGATTAAAAACCCATGGATGGTAAAAATAAAAGTGAATATCTCATGCCATAATCATACAATTTTTTAGCAAATGTGAGAATAATATGCGAAATAAAAAAAGATTAAAACATTACATACATATATTTGCCACTCATTTTTTAACATCCATGTCATTTAGAATGGTATAAGTTAATAAATAAAACCATATTTCTACAAAAGTATTTGAAGAATTTGAGATCATTTTCATGAAAAGAATAATCAGTTATTAGATGAAAATTAAACTAATATTACCTTTGCAAAAAGAAAAAGAGGTTGAATGAACGAATCTTCAAATGTGAGAGCAACAAATAATCAAATAGGAAGCAAACTCCGTACATAAAGAGCATCAATATAAGAAAATAAAGTTTTTTTTTTTCTAAATAAAACACCATCATTAAATTTCATTAATCGGTTGGGTAGAAGAGAAATAGGAAAAATAAAAGAAAACTAATGAAGAAATTTAGCATAGGCTATATAAATTTACCTAATTTAGTAATACAAAAAAATCTTAAAGAACCTCATAATTAACACTTCTCTAGATAATACCTTTTCCATCAAACCAAAACCAACATTATATTTCAAACTAAAATTTGAAAACCCACCATAAAAAGCCACCAAAAATGTAAAACTACCACCAAATTTGTTAATCAATTTTGTTTTTATGAAAAGAATAAGAAGCTACTACTGAAATTAGACCAATACTACCTTTGATGGTAAGAAAAGATGCAGAATAAACAAATCGCCCAGTGCGAGAACAACAAATAATCAAAAAAGATGCAACAAAGTCCCTACAAAGAGAAAATCAACATAAGAAAGTAAAATAAAAGTTAAAAAAAAGAAAAGAAAAAAAAAGAACAGGCTTACTGAATTTTATTAGTTGGTTAGGCGGAAGAGCAAAAAAAACTCCAATGAGATTATTTACTTCTAACAACAATCTAGTTATTGCTAGAATTCGCCTAGAAATGACATTAGGGAGATGAGTGAATGAAGGATGAGATCAAAATGATAGGCTTAATACCACACAATAAAATTAATCCTCCTTCTAATAAAAC